CGCCCAGGCTGAGGTTAATCCTTATTTAATAATTTTCTCCGAGAAACTTCTAATTGATGATATTATTTCATTCATATCATCTTTAGAAATTATTACATCCTCAATGATAGGATTATCTATTTCTCGCCAAACGTTTCTTTCATCATTTTCAACTTTAACTAACTGTTCTGTCTTTCCTCCGATGATTCTTACGCTATCCTCATCTGCAACAGCAAAAAAACAAGCACCGAAATCACTAACATTAGAGGATGTTATACAATAATCAAATACTTGAACAGGATATTCATCTAATTCAGAAGACTCCGGATAAGCCAAGTTAAATAATCTACTAAACGCCTCTTGTGTCGGCAATGTAAAAACGTCCCTATTCAATGGTTGAGAGACTAAAGCACAATCATGATCAGAAATCTCTCTGAGGTCTGAAGAGAGCGTGGATGTTCTAATATCACTTGGATACATATTCCCATTTATAATTAAATGGAACAGTCCATTTGTGTAAGAACCACTCCATTGTGAGACAGGCTCAACCCAAACAGCAAAACGATAAGGATCACCGAAAATCATACCTACCTCCATTTCCCAGGTAAACCAAACTCTTTTTTCACACTATTTGGTATATCACTTTTTTTTATAGGAACTGACTTATCACCTGTACTACCAGACCAATGCCAGGTTCCATCATTTGTATTCGTAAATTGATGAACATTTCCTTCAGCATCAATAGAATATCTTTTTTTGCCACTAACAACTGATGAACCAAATAAATCTATCGAGTTTTTAGGCTCAGTTCCGGCATTGAAACTATACCCTTGCTGCCCAGGTGTATGTTTAGGGTTAGATTGATAGCTCAGGCCATTCGTTGCCGTAGTAGCTTTTGGTGCAGGTAATGCACTGCCTTTCCCAGCCTTACTAATTCCCCCAAACGCCGCTGCCGCCGCACCTGCTACAATATCAGCCTGGATTGCATCCAGTCCATATTCTTTCTGAATAGCTTCCGAGACTTTCTGGGTAGCGACAACACCTTCAACCTGCATTTGCTGCGCGAAAGTCGCTGTCAGATCGTAGACCATCTTGATCGGGATATCTTCACCCAGGGCACGATCAATTGACTGTTTCACGGCCAGACTATCGGTCAGCACATCACCGTATTTCTGCTGACAAGTCGCCGGACTGGCGGCACAGTCACTGATCAACTGCTGCTGTTGGGCGGTACTCAATTCCTCGTATTTCTTTATGATGCTGCCACAGTCGCCGCCCCTGGCCTGACAGGACTTCATTTCAGCGGACCAAGCGTCTATCTGCTTACTGCTCAGATAGTTATTCTCAACCGCATTCTTCCCGCCCTGCGCCCCCGCAGCAGCCGACGCCGTGCTGTCTCCCGCCAACCCT